TTATTCTAAGTTGCCAAAAGCAAGATTTAAAAAAAGTAAAAAGCAATCTTTTTACGTTAATCGCTATACAATTAGAACTCGAACTGTTCGTGATAATGTCACAACTGCAAGTTCATCTAAATTAAGAACTTTTGAACTTACGGATGTTATGAATGCAAAAAATTTTCAAGACCTTCAAGGAAATAGAGTATTTAACACTACAACATTAGTTTCTATCTTTTCCCTTCTTATCCTTCTGTCCTCTGCTAACCAGTGTGTCTTGAAACTGGCTTGCAATCAGTAGAAGATTCAAATTTCGGGTTTTGCTCCAACTTTAGCTTGAAATGCAAATATGGATTTATATTTTCTTCATCTCCCAAAAGTGGAAATAAAAATATTTAAATTTTTTCTTGGTGCTCGGATTAAGACTAATTGGAAAAGGTTATACACCTGGTAGAAAGTCGTTGTTTACTTTGAACTTGCCTTTCATATCAAAAACAGCATTTAGGCAGTCTGAAAGTAAACTGTTAGAATCTATACAATATTATCTGTAATGTATCTGATTAAAACATGATAGAAACTGCCAAGGAAATTAGAACTTTAAAGAAAAGTACAGCTTGTGATGTTTCTGTGGATGGTACAAGGCAGAGTCGTGGCCATGCATCACTGAATGGTTGTGTGCCTGTCATTTCTATTGACACAGGTAAAATGCTGGGTGCATGTAGAACAGTTTTAATTTTTAATTCAGAATATATTGGGTTGTTTCCTGTGTTTGAATACTTAGGTATATCAATTGAGCAATAAATTATTAAGAATTATTTTGGAATTGATAACGAAAGAATAAAGAACTCAAAATGTCATTCGTCACTCGTTTCGTAAATAGCCAGAAAATTATTAAAAGCAAATAGGAAATCAAAATTACTTAAGTATGAAGATAAAGAGAATTTTAAGTGTGTTAACATAACACAACAGTTTTTCTGCTAATGTGAAATCTTTAAACACGTTTTCTGGAAAACTGATTTTTTTAGTATGTGTACATACAAGAAATGTAGCTGCTTAAAATGTTTCAAATATATTTCTATGAAATTTCACTACAGTGTTTTCTATATTGTTCGCTAGTTTTAAGACAAAACCGAAGTTCTGTCTATTCATTTGCTAAGTTTATAACCATTCCAATATAAAATAATTAGAAATATTTTATAAAAAAAACTATTTTTTCCATGCCATTTCACATATTTTAGTAAATTTTAGAAATATCGTAAAACTTTCATCTAATAACACAGATGAATGTTGTAGTAGTATACAGTATAAGTGAAATTAACATATGTGCAGTGGGGAAAAATATACGATACCTAACGTAAGTATTAAATTTTCCTAAAAATTTGCATAAAATTGCATCTATCTTAAAAACTTCTGAAAATGTTCCTAAAAATTTGCTTATTTTCACGATTTGATATCATATTTATTCACTAAATAAAATAGATTTAATCCATATTCTACGTTTAAAAAAAATGCTCCGAACGTAGGCAGATACTAAGCTTCAGACGAATAAAAATGACAAATCTGACATCCCCTTCCTAGTAAATTCAGCTCTCTACCCGTTGTAACCAAAACGATGCAGATGTTTATTCTAACTCTTTGTAAGGCTTATACAAGGAAATAAAAGCCCACTGATTTGTTAATAAGGTTTCTCCGTGTGTTTATTAATCAGTTAAATTATAAGTGATAGTTGCATGATTTTGAAATACTTTTTTTGATAAAGTTATTAATTCAACAAGAGGTATTCAAATTTTTATTGCGGGATAACAAACGTTCTGTTAGATTGTTTTATCTCATTTGCTATTTGCGCTTCCATGATGTGACGTCAGCTGCTTACATTGTAACTGATACGCCTTTTTTTCACCGTTATCAGTAAAAGAGTTGCGCTGTCTAGTCAGGCAAAAATGAAATTGAATTTCACTACAGGACTGGAAATACACTGAGTACTTTTAGAAAGTTGCCCATTTTTATTTACCTTTCCCCTTCATCACTGATAACTTACAGCTTCTTGTCATTTTTTCATTCCATATTATACTAAGATATTTGCTTCTGCATGACCTGATAAAATTGTACTGAATGTGTTCGTGATCTCCCTCATGTTTAATGAAATATGAACTAGACTCCCTGAAACGGTTTTCCAAGAACACATCCCTTCCCTTAGACCTGTAGCCATATATTCTTGGTCTCAGTCATTAAACAAATGAACTAATTAAAAATTATTAATTTTTTTTTAATTTGTAAATTTCAAAAGCGTTTGATTATTTTACTCTGATTTAACTTGCGTAAGAATAGCAAAGCAACGTAAACGTTATAGATTTCAAATTTCTGTGAAAGCAAAACTTAATGAGCAAGACGGTGTTTTATTTTGGCCTTTATTCGAAATACCTCCGTGCTTGCCCAATAAGTGTGTAAATTATATACAATAATGCAGAGAACCAAAAATTTAACTTCGAAAAACCGAAGTTGAAGAGAAAATCATTTAAGTGACGGAACTCTTTACAGGTCTATGCTGGCTATTATTCACACACATACAGATTCAAGGTATTGTTTTAATTAGCCAAAACAGTAGTCTCTCAGTCTTCTCATTTCGTGATAATTTCATCATGTAAATGATGAAAGAAGGCTAAACGATTAAGAAAGAAAAAATGTGAGAGAAATATTGTTATCATCATAGTTTTGTAATCATTTTGTTCACGCAAAACATAGATTGCTTAGTCTGCGCATCCCAATTTTTAAAAGATTTTAAACAGATAATTATAAAAATTACTTAAAAGGTTACTGTAATTTAAAATTGGCTTTAATACTTATTATTGCACTATCTGTAAAAATGGTCCTTTTCTCATTCTTGTATCATTATCTCTTAAAGAGTTTTTTTCCGTTTGAGTAGCTAAATACGAGTATTATAGAACACACTGAAACTATCTAGCTTTAGGGAAGAAATGCAATAATTGAAATATTTTCCAATGAATTTGCCTTCTGCATATCTAGAGAAAATCACGAACGTACCCATTTCCTCAAACTTGCAGCCTTTAACGGTTTTATCCATTTAGTTAGTGGTGATTATTTAATTACTTAAGTACTACTTGATTTTAGTAAACTCCGTAAAGCGTAATAAATTACATGAACAAAGGCATGCAACAATCCTCACGCTGCTCTGTTGTGGTATAAATAACTAAGTACTCTGGCTCCGGTACGAAAACTGAAAACCAACTGATTTTTATTCAAAGTGTTTAAGTGTCGAAACTGCCGAGCTCAAATGTGGTAACGATGGAGTTCTTATTTTTGCACCTTAAATTATTGCTAAAACTGAAATCTTCAAATTGTTTATCTTTTGAGTGAAGCTACTTTAACGACTTTTTCATTTATTACATTGAGTCCACCAGCGGCCGAGCGGTAAAGTCGCTGAACACTGGTAGTTCGGTCCGAGGTTCTAATCCCGCGAACGGGCTGGCTGCATGGGCGTTTTCGTGGTTTTCCCCATGTGTAACGTGTATACGAGCCAGTTTCCCTTAGAAAGTCCTCCACGAAGGCATCCCTCCCCTTAGGCAGATAGCCCTCGAGGCTTTGCCATAACTACACAAACAAACAAACAAACAAAACATTTATTACATTGGGCTTAGACGGAAGTTCGGATAATCGGAGTTCCACCATACAGCGAAATCTGTTTATTAAAGTCGGAAAGTTCATAGAAGTATGAGAAAAGCATGGAAAAAAATGGAATTATAATGAAAGGGTTTATTTTAACAATCAGCAAGTTTAAATAATACGCTTTAAGTTAAGTCATTGAACACTGAGAGGCCATCTTATGAATATTTTTGACCCCGTTTCCATATAATAAAAAGAAACAGTTTTAAATATTGAGAAAATTTCCAGAAGACGAAACAGAAACACGGAATGTGCAGTTGCTGCTTGCAAAGTAGTATCAGTAGGTTGTATCGATGCACGATTATCACAAATCTTCGATTTGAAAGAAAAAGTTCACAATATTATAGAGTCTGTGGGTATTCTTTGGTAGCATACACCCTGATCTTTATGTTGAAGACTAAGTAGCGAATTCTCGCTATGTCTTTAAGAATAAATACTGCAAGAGAAAGGTTTAAATAACCTTTTTATTTAAACGGATGCACACACTTTGTGGTCACAAATCACCACCACTTGTGATTAGTAACAGAAAATAATAATGTAACAAATCACTTGTAAGTTAAGAATTCTAAATGATTGGCTCCTTAGCTTAAACTAACGCTAAATCGGCTGCACACAGCAAAGCCGAGCAGAGGAATATCAGTATAAACTCAAAGGTGTCAAACACCGAACTTGAGAGCTCGCAGCATAAACATCGAAACTCCGTCTACTACTACTCTCTTGAATTCCTGAGACACAGCTTAAATACTGCTTCTGAAAAACTTTGAGAATTTACATCTACGTCATACAAAATTTACATTCTGGCAGGAAACTGAAATCAGGAGAAATAGGAAAGTCAAACTAAAAATAATTGGTTAGAATAAAATAAATCCTTACATTATCTGCAAAGCGCACTAAAACCTGAGAGAAAAAGGATATATCTTATTTTGTGATAAGAAATTACGTTGCCGAAAAAGAAGTATTTTTGTTGGCAGGAGGCGAACTTCAAGCAGCGGAAATTTAGCTGAATTATTCTTATTATTTCTACGAACATTTCAATTAAAAAATATTGTGGGGATTTATTAACTTACTTTAATTTTATTTTGAAGCAACCTTAGCTATTGCTCTTGCTTTCACTTACGCTTTCTTGCCAGAATGTAAATGAGTTAGTGCGCATGTACCCAAATGAGGTAGAAAGAAGTTAGTATTTAAGAGAAGACTTTGGGAGGTGAATTTAGAGCGCGTTCTGCCTGTCTGAAGGCCACAGTCTTTGATTTATTAGCGATTAGATTTCTGTGGCGTTGAGTGCTTCTTGCCATTAGACTTGTTTATGAAGAATAAAGATAGCAAAATCAGCTTACCTTTTGTGCACTCAGTAGCAGCAGTTGAGTCTCCAAAACTATTGTTGATGATGATATGAGGGATGTATTCATAAATAATACGATGCAGATTTAAACAATAATAACATATTTATTCTATTGCAACTAAAATAATATAAGCAATAGCTAATCAGTGTTAATACAAGCACATACAGAAGCTTAATAATATCTAAAGAACAAGAGGAACATGGGATATATTAACATCACGTGATTAACATAGTTGACGTGTTTGACGCCCGTGTGTCTTGGCATTTTTTAGGGTTGCCAGAAATGAGCTAGAAAAACATTTTATTAATTTATTCTCAAATGCTTGATTAATTTACAACAGTTTACGCCAACGTTTACGAGCCAGCCCGCGCTTTAAGTGACTTCTGAAGCCGTTTGGCTAAACTTAACTCCATTTAATTTTGAGTTACTCGTAACCTTTTTCAGTCAAGCCAAAAGTGTTGCATTTTGTAAGCAAGAGTCAATGCCATCTGTAAATCTTAAATTGAGTTAATAGAGGGTTCTTTACACCCTTCTCTGGGCTTTGTCATACTTAGTTATAATTCCCTACACAATCTTCTAACATCTAGTTAGTTTATGCTACTCAAGAATACGAGATGTTATAACATATCAAAGGAACGAACAGTCGACTGTGCTATCATACTATTCTGTCTTCTTTCATGAGGCAAAATATTTATCTAGTTAACTACATTTCTATAATCGGAATGTTATAACAGCTTCACAGCAAACCTTTTGGCCGAATGTCAGCTGCATTTTACTTAGATTTCTTTTCTCTCCCAGCAGATCAATTAGTTGCCGGGGGATGGCTGAACTTGTTGGTCATTTCACAGCTACATCGAGAGCACTACGTCGAATGCACCATATAAGGCTACACCAGTACTGCACCGGAAAAGAGAAAACACATATAAACGTATTCTATAACCTGGATTTCAAATCCGGATTCACTGGTATGGTAGTCAGTCTCCATTAAGCACTACATCAACCGGCATGCTTTTTGCTTAGAGCATGATCACTATATTTGTTAAAGTAATTGTCCGAATGCTTCAGCAGTATCTTGGAGAACAAAATTCGAAGCACCAAAATTTCGTTATCGTTGCAAATGTTGTACAGTGTAAGGTGAACGGTTTCGAGAAATGCGAATCTCTGTTGGAAAAATAAGATTACAGGGGCAACCAAGCTGGATGATTTTGGCGACTAATTTTCTAGCCCGAAGTCACCACACTTATCGACCATTTGGTGACATTTTGACCCTGAATCTGTATTACTGTAATTGATACTATAATTAAATAACCGTAATTGATCCTCTTATGTAATTGTAACCGTATCCGCCCGTTATATCTAACTTTAACCGTATGCGCTTTCCAGCAATTTCAAGAAATTGAAGACACTAGAAATTCCTCGGCTGCCGGGGAAAAATTATGTAAGACTGGAGAGAGCATCAGTTCTCAGTTTTTAGTTCAGAGTTGACTTCGGAGTATTGAGAGAACTTCACACGAGCTTCGCTCTTTAGACCCGCTTTTCATTGTGTAGTGTTTAAAGTTCTTAGTAGTTTGATGTGGTAACTACTGATAATGCTCTTTTATACTGGGGAGAGCTGAATGAGTATTTTTGTGGAAATTCCATAGTTATAAAGTGTTCCTTTCAGGTAAAATCAATTTTATCAAGCTATCATGGATTTTGGGTGCATTCAATCCATTACGAACCCGTAAACATGTAACATTATTTAGTTCGGGAAAGAATTGCGTTTTAATACTTGCGGTTCAAACTAAATGTTGCAAGTGTTTAGGTTGAAGATTCTAGCTAAATTAACTTAACCTTGCTCGCTAGGTCTTTATTTGAACTGTGAAGAGACTATTCGCTAAGTTCAAATTGTATCAATGACATGACGTAAAAAGGATGAAAAGACCCTTTTATTCAGCTCAAAAAGGAATTTATAAACGGCACTTCTGGTGCTTACAAACGTAGCCAATACTTTTGACTGCAACTCAAAATATAAATAAAATTTTTTAAAAAAATCTGAAAGGTTTCAGATTTAAAATTACGTCTAAAGGGGCGTTTTTTTAACGTTTTGTGTGTTATCTTTATTTATTAAATATTATGTTCTTCGCACTTAAACCATAAGATCCAGTGCAACAGCAATATCGCAAAATAATTTTAAAACGAGCATATCTTTAGAATTTCCGATACAGAGACTACGCACGCTGGAGATAAAAATGTTTTTTCTCCAACGTTGCCATTGCTCGCTTTGAAATCCTTGAGTTTGTTAATCAAAAATTCGTCAAAGTTTTAAAAATAGGAAATCGATCATAAAACAAATTTCAAATTTGGTCTTCCACATGCTCATATTCGTTGGAGGATTACGTTATTCAAAATTCGATGACTCTATGTACCGTTGTTTATGACAATGCGAGAAATATACATACATTTATGCAGATTTTTCATTATTTAATTTCTTCAAATATAATGCAGGACTCTAACATTTTGGTGGCAACAGTTTGAAAAGTGAAAACGACATTATAGTGAAACGCAAAATCACAAAACGATAACAATAGTCCTTCAGGGACAAAGCCCCTTTGGACTAAAAATTAAAACTAAGTTAAATAATCAGCCGAACCTGAACAGAGATAATTAACGTTAGTTGGCTCTTAGCCCTACCACCGACGTAGACAAAAGGCAATTAATGTGCACAACCGTAAAATAAAAAGCTTAAATCAGCGAAACCGAAAAAAGCGTAGCCGAACGACAGAACACGCTCTGTATGTAGTAATTCCGACACCAGCTTAAACAGTATCTTTCTACCCTACTTTGTATACCACGCGAAACTGGAATGTGATTCTGGCAGGAAATGGAAATGAGAGAAAACAGAAAAGATAAGTAACTGAACAAGACTTGTTAGTTTACAACTAAATACTTAATAAATAATTCCTTACAATGTATATCATTTTTTATTTGTTTGTTTTAATTCCAAATTTAGAGTGCATTGCTATTCTTCTTCCATTTCCTCATTCATGATGAATCGAATTGATATTATTCATCAGTTTTGCCCCTATAACGATAACGACATTTTCCTAATCAGCTCGTCAATTAAAAGGTTTCGAAATATAACTTACATAGCCATTATTGCAAAGTGTTTGGAAAATTTTCCAACAATTTTTTTTTTTTTTAATCGAGGCATCGTGTTTGCTATTTCATTACAGTAATTTCATATGTTCACTCTAAACTAGAAATGGAATGAAATGGTAGTATTATTTCATTAAACTTAAAAAATTTCATTATAACTTAAAAAAGTAGCTTTTATATTATCTAAGATAAGAGTTTAACCTTCAGCTCGTATAGTATGAGCCTCAGGGACCCGAGGATCTCATTTCAGCTAAAGACTTATTTCTTTACCTAAGGTATCCTAAGTAAAGGTGCTTCTCTTTTATTCCATTTGCATCATTTTCAGTGAAAATATTCCAAACGTTTCATGTTAAAATTAGCTATCGTTTACATAAATAAATATTTTTTAATTTAAAAATATATGCGTAAAAAGCAGAATTATATATATATTTTATTTATTTATTTATTTATTTATTTTGTGTGTGTGTGTATTCGTAAAACGCGACTATACCAATTAAGCGCAAACTTTTCACCATGGTAAGTAAAGCTTAATTTGGGAAATTAATTTAAATACACTACTATTTGTTGGATATTATAACGTCAAATCCATTTTTCTAATACAGAACTATTTTTCCTCAGTGAGTTAGTTCTATGTAAATGCAGAATTTGTTGCGCGGAAGGAAAACATGCCAATATTACGTCATCATCATGATTATTTACCTCCCGCCTTAACAGTTTATTTAAGACAGAGCTCATTCTGTTTCATGACAGACACATATTTTTTCGACTTCTGAAACTAAGTCAATTTGTTTCTCTTTGGCCGCCTTCCAATCCCAAATGAATCGATATAAGTTCTCCTTGCTTCATTCTCCTGTCACTTAGTTTCTTGGCTACTCTAGACAAGCTTCTAAAATCTTTCAAGGCTAACTAATCTTTAACTAATCTTTCAAGGCTTGTAGAAAATCCTGATGCGATATGAAACCTAAAGTAGGATAGATTTTAATTGAATATTTAGGTTTTTTTTTTTTTTAATTTGATCAACTTTTGATGAGATTTTTTTCTTTTCCAACTCTTTCTAGGCAGGATTTCTCTCCTCCCACCCCCTTAATGGTAGCATAACTATTTCACTTAAATCGAATGTTTTCTTTACACTGATTACAGCGAATTCCTAAATTGCACTTAAAATTTTGCTTTTCAGTACAATTAACATTAAATCCTCAAAACTTCAGTACAGGTATATTAATAAAAAAATCGAATGTGCTAAATATTTCAAGTAAAGAAGAAATGCTGTTTCGCTATTAAGATCTAGTAAATATTTAAGATAAACTCATGCTCTATCAACGGACCATGAAGAGATATTTTTTACTTTGATAAAAATTATTCTAGTGATGGCTTTACTTCATAAAGCAATACGAATTTTCAAGCATAAAATGGAAATGCAGGAAAAAAAAAATTAATTTCAACGCAAAACGTTTCGAATACGCTTCATTCAGAACCCGAAATTCTTCTATAGCCTATCCAGAGAATTTTTTGCATTTTCTTGTATTTTTATATTTTAAAAAAAAAATGTTTAGCTATATAAATAAAAGGTGCTTACGTATTTTTCTATCGACCATTTTGAGAAAGCAAAAAACTGTCTCGAAATAAGGAGATTTAGCACCAATAATTGACAAACGTAATGACACAAGATTTGGTTTGGTTTATATGATTATGGCAAATCACATGAGGGCTGTTTGCCTAGCGGGACAGATGTCTTCATGGAGGACTTTCTATAGGAAAATTGGCTCGTACTCTCGTTACGCATGGGGAAAACCACGAAAAGGTCCTTGCAGCCAGCGTATACAGCTGGGAATCGTACTCAAGTCTAACTAATAGTGTTCAGCGATGTTACCGCTCGGCCGCTGGTGGGCCTCGTAATGACACAAAACTCTTATAAAATCTTCACTGTGGTTTTATGTAATTGTGAGTCTTAAGTCTGGCTGCATGGGCGTTTTCGTGGCTTTCCCCATGTGTAACGTGTATACG